GGACGGGCCACTGGGCTGGACGGCAAAACCCGAGGTCTTCGCCATCTGCGCGCGCATCCTAGTCGGTGGCGCTGCGCTCGCCGCGACCGGAATCGCGGAGGTCGGGGAGGAGTTGCGTAAGTTCCGGGATGAGGGGCAGAGGGCTGAGATCCATGGGTTGTTGCTTGGGATGTGCGATGGCTTGTGAAGCTCGCGTAAAAACTATATCGATAGTGCAAAGATACACATTTTACTATTCGCATTTTGCATTTACGTAAATTCAACCTCGACTAAGACATCGCAATTCCCCGTTTCTCATCTCATCTCAGTGCATTTGCGTTTTATTCAAGGCTAATGCTAGGTAATAATACACCTCATAACCTCGTCAATCTCATCGTTTCGTTTCGTATGCTATCCAGAGGTTCAAACCCCAACTCCCAACTCTAGGTAGGTAGGTAATGGGCTTGCGCTCAGCCACTTTCCCCCCCAAGGCAACAAACAGTTCAACCTCTCCAATCAATGTAATTCGTATGTCGGCGTCGTGTTCAACTCACTTCGTCGCAATGGTATCGTGCGCGCTTGCCTCCATGTATCCTCGTATCGTATATGCGAATACTCCATCACCCCATCCTCTTTGTATATGTCCGTTCCTGTTTGTTTGCAGCAGCCATCCCCGTCGTTAAACTGTATGTGCGTACTCCCCACCTCATCTGCTCTCCTCCATCTTTCTTCACGACTTCAAGCCCTCAACCCCGTTCGCTTCACGCTCGGGCATCCGCGCCGACATAGCTCTCTTTAGCGAAGGCGGAGTCCTGGTACCCGTCGAGCCCTCTCCGTTCAGCGATATCCCCTCGCGGCCCAGCCTCGCGACCAACATCGTATTTTGTGTCTGGAGGTCGCCGACCTGCTCCTTCAGGATATCCATCTGCTTGCGCGCGATGTCGCGCTCCGCCCGGACCTTATCCAATTCCATTGCTAAGTTGCTCTTCTCTTCCCTCTCCAGCATCTTTCTTCGGCGTTCCTCGGTCTTCTTCTGCTCGCTCTCGCGCTTGGCCTCCAGCCTTTTCATTTCTCGCTGGTATTTTTCCTGCTGCTTAGCTATTTCGCGCTCGTGCTTCTCGCGCAGTTTCTGCAGGGCCATTTCTTCGCGTTGGGATGAGGTGGTGTCCGATGCGCTGCCCTTCTTCGCTAGGGCTTTTTCCTGTGCGCGCCGTAGCTTTTCCTCCGTTTTACGTTTGCGCTCCTCGAGCTTTTTGAGATCCTTGTCGTGCTGCGATGTCCGCGCCGAACGAGCGAGGGAGTCGGTGGAGCGCGTGGATTCCGCGCCGCCGTTCGTGACTGAAGGTGTAAGCTGTGTTGAGCTTTCTCCCGGCATAGATGACGAGGCATCGTTTTCTTCGATTCCCTCGGCTTCCAGGCTATGAAAGCTGTAGATTGATGACTTATCATCATCATCCCTAAACGGCCCAGAAAGGTCGGAGGAGCTCATGTTATCGTCGTTAACGGATCCGAAGGGATTAGGCAGGTGGGAGGCAGCCGCCGACGCCGCAGTATTTAGGGCATTTGATATCATGCCATAAAATCCCGTAGGGTTGGCTTGTTCTCTCACTTCTTCTCTCTCGTCGATGGCCGATAGCAATGGAGCACTCGGAGACCTAGTTAGATTCGGCGTATTATTTGTTGGGGCTGGCTTTGTAAAAATCAGGTCCTCAGCTTCTGATGCCTCCTGCTTGAGCTTTGTGTCTTCGCTGTCAGACTCAGTAAAATCATGAATGGACTTTGATGATATCCATTTGACGAATTTGTTAGCATCACCGGCAATACCGGGAGGTGTGCCCCTCTCGATCATGAATCGCGGCACACTACCGCCAGGATCACTTCGGGTAACCATTAGCCATTCGACTAAGGTCTCGTAGTCTTCGTCGTCCTCCATGCCATCGCCGAGATCTGCATACCCAATAGTTCTGCCTCGTCTCCTCCCACTGCCATCTTTAGTCGAAGATGCCGAGTCTGCTGCTTGGTGCGCTGAGCGAATAGAGGCCTGTCTACTGAGATTCTCTGAAGCATTTCGTATTGATGCCGCAGACTCATCATTAGGTAGGTCTATCGATGACCGAGTTTTGCGGAGAGGTTTCTCTACTCTAATCTCACGGATAAACTCGACTGACTCATACTGGCCACGAATATAGCCTTGGCGCGGTGGACATTCCGGATGGATACACGGCTTTGAGACCAGCATAAAGTGTTTAGGCGTGCCGGGGACATCAATCGCTGAGTCAGAACTTAGCAGTAGTGTAATAAAGTCTCGTGGCGTTGTTGGCCCTGGAAATTGGGCTGAGAGTTGGTAGACTAGTCAAATCCGTTAGCTAGGTCAGTGCTTTGGAACGAGATCTGTCTAACGGCCAGACAGTATAACGGTTAACCTACCTTGCATCTTGCCGCGGCCTTCAACAATTTGGTTCACAACCTTCTTATCGGCTCCAATTCCTCTAATGCTTCCATCGCCGGGTTTTCCTTGCACCTTCATGCTCTCATCGAGCTCCTTTTCCATACCCAATTTCCATTTTTCAAACGTAAGGATATCATGGACGCTGCGTCTCGCAAACCAAGCACCCTTTCCGTCCTTTGCGGCGAGTTTATAGACGTCCAGTCCCAGGGGGTTTTCGCGTGGGTTGACCTTAGTTTCTTTCCAATCTTTCTTCAATTCCGTCGCACGGTCCGACGATTTCGAAGATATGCTAGGTAGTGAGGAGATATTTGACTCGGTGGCTGCTCGTGGTCTGCCTACTTTTTGCGGAGAGAAGGTGGAAGAGACCGGGATAGAATCAAGTATACACTGCGCATCATTAAATACCCCCACTAGGAAATCGTTGAGGCTATCGTGGGAGATATCATCCCAATTGACAGGGGCGAGAGCCTTGAAGACTTCGTGGGCGCTCGACATAGTCAATTCCCCCTCTTAACCACCAAGATTCAGTATGCGTCGAGGGTTCAATTCGTAGGTATTGAGGTGTATGTGAGTAACGTAGTGTGGTCTAAGGTATGGCGAGCGGTAAAGGAAATAGCTAGGAAACCCAAAAACGACAGCAATGGTTGAGAATCTAAAAGTCCCATTCTGTGTGCGAGGCACCACTAGGAAGGAAGATAATAATAATACACCATAGACACCATAGGAGCAAAAGGAATTGGCTGAGTAAGAGGTTGGGAAGGTAGCAAGAATCCGAGGAATAATAATTATGAGGTTAGGAGTTAGATAGTTATCTTAGTTAGCCTTTTCTTTAGTTAGTTTTAGTAGTGATCCAATCTACCTAGGTAGTAACAGAATATCCTTGACGTCACATTTGCATCTATCCAGACTCGTCCCTGATTCACTGTTACACAATGATGAAGGATCGAGGCCGTTCTAACCCGTTCTAACCGTTGAAGTCTTTCTTATAAATGCATAGATACCGAGTAGCAAAACCGTAGTTGCCATTAACAGAACTAGCCACGTGTGATAAGAATCGCACTCTCTCCACTCTGCAACAGAGATGGACCCCTATTTATCGGTCGTGTACATACTGCCGAGGCTTACTACAAGATATTTGGTATCATATTCACCAGCACACGTTAATTGAATCTAGCTGATATATTTAGACAAATACCATTTGCGAAAAAGAGGAAGCTTGATTGGATACCATAGTGGTTTGTATCGCAATGGTAAGTACCTACCTAGGTTATGAGGTATTGATACATATGCTTGAGAGAGGGGGAGATGAATCATTATACTTTGTAAACTTCTATCGAATATACCCCGAGGCCTCCGGAAGGCATCTTCGTCATTTCACCGGAGGCCTTGGCACAGTCTTCATTTCTCAGAATACATAGTTATGTTATGCGTCTTTGTTAATAGTAGTATACCAACTATATAATATTATATTGATCTTACTAGGGTTTCGAAAAATACGCGTATAATACACAACCCCTGTAAAATACGTATGATATGTATCATACATCCGGATCGGATTCTCTACTACCGCCTATTTTCGAATCTTTGCAAAGTTGGCAGACCCGCTTTTAAATAACACTAAACCCTTTGTGGTGCGCTTTACTATTTATAGTTAGCTTAAACGTGAGGCTCTACTGGCTCCAATATCAAAAGAAATCCGATAAGAAATGATAAGGGGATTAGTAAGCAATTAGTAAGGAACTGATAACTTATCTTCAAGCGATTATTGGTTAGTGTGTCTTGGCAAAATTGGGAAAAATTTTATTGTACAAAAGTGGAGACATTTCAATCAGGTGTTGTTGAATGAACCCCAGATTCCATTGGCTTAAAATGGTTAAAGCTATTTAAATGTGGGTCTGCCAACTTTGCAAAGATTCGAAAATAGGCGGTATATAAAATACAATACAATAAATACATGTATGATATTGTATTATACGTTTTCGTATGATACAGGCCGATTCCCTAGATCCTACAGCGGTTCAGGTTGCCTTGTAGCAAGATATGAGCGTTTTGTTGATGTAAGTGGCGGTTGTACAATTAACTTCCATTGCGCCAATACCATCCCTTACGGGACCGAGAGACGCAGCCCTAGGACACCATCACAGCCTTCTTGTCTTATATCCTGAGACATACCTAAGTCCTAGGTACATACCTAGTAGTATATGCATACGATATTAATAACTCGAGCTACTAGGTAGGGTTTACTCTTTTTTCATTTTTTTTCAAACACATATACCTTTTAAGCTAGGTACCTATCTTAGCCCTAATCGCGTTTTTAGGGGGTTCGAGCAATCAGATCTTAGAGTTTAGCAACTCAAAAACCATCACCTCTGCCGCTTACTACATAGTTCTCTAGTCTACCTAGGTAGATAACTGCCTAATCTCCAATCATATTCACAATCTGACCCCAAGCCAAAGTTCCTACAGCCCGGAATCAGCCGCCACATCCTATCTAGTTAATATAGTAAAACATGGGTGCGACTCATAACAACTTTCGCAATAGAGGTTACTTGCCTCGTCGCCAAGCTACGAAGATCCCATAGCTCAGTTGGTCAGAGCGTCGTACTAATATTATCCCATCCTGTATAGGAAATGTTAAGTAATGCGAAGGCCGAGAGTTCAAGCCTCTCTGGGATCATCCAATTTTTCTTTTGTTTTTTCTTTTTTATTCTCTTCTACGTATATTTGGAAAGTAGGTAGCTGAGGAAGAAGGTGCGCGCGATAGTTCTTTCCTTTTTTTCTCTTCTTCTAATTGATCGATCACATAAGGAAACGCTTCCCCCTGAGGCCAAGTTAATTAAATGTCGCTGCTTTCTAAATTTTATAGATTTCTAATGGGTTTATTTTCTTAGTGCATGTAGTCTGTGATATTTAATATATTTCGAGTAATGTCTTTTGATATAATACTGGATGAGATGAATGCATATTGCATCTCGATGCATCGTTCTCGAATTTTTTACACGAATATGAAGTCGAAAGTGTAAAGTGGTGATCGACTCTATGGCAGAGTATCAGAGAATAAAGTCTTCACGACTACAACCATACTTGAAAGTCTACATGATATATCTGGGGTATCCATTCCTATTACAATCATATTTATCTCCTGCACTACTTAATATACTTGAACCTAATGGATGCCTCTTCATACATATGGTACAACTTTTCCATCCTCCCATTTGTACTGTGTGTATGTATACTCCCCCTCGCTCCGTGAGGAGCTCACCGCGACTTATACTTCCTTATGCACATTTGTTTCTCCCTCTTCTTAATCTTCTGCACCGTTCGCAATTACCTCTTTCGCTTTCTTTCCCCTCTTTGCTTACACCACCCTTTCATTATCTTCTCCTTCTCTATCACCACTACCTACCACGCAACCCCCATCGCCAAGCTCTCGCGCTCCCTCTCCTGTATCAGAGCCTCGCGATCAGCCTTGCAGCTACCACAATACTCTTCATGCCACATCTGCAAGTGCCTCTTCTTCGCATCGTCTTGCTCCTTCTCCCCCTTTCCTCCACCCTTCTCTCCGCTCTTCCCCTTAAGCACCTCCTGCCCCCCACCAGCCCCATCTCTAGACATCCACCCTCTAATCCCGCTCCTCTCCGCGCCGGAGCTAGACTCGTCCCACTTCGCGAGCGCGGTCTCGACCTTCTCGCACCTGTGGTTCTCGTCCAGCAGCCAGTTCTCCCACTCCGCGCGCACGACTTCCCTCTCCACACTATTGACCGTGCGCATCGCGACGATCAAATCGTGTCTGTACGTGCCCAGCTTTTGCCTCGTTTGCCTGAGTCTCCTCGCCGTCGCGCGACTCGAGCTCCACGCTAGCGCCGCGCCGGCCTGCTCGCTCGGCGCATCAGTATCGGTGCCGTTCGCGATGGACCTGAACGTCGAGTAACAGTAGCTATCTTCCGGCCAGTCGAGCAGAGCCGTCGAGCCTTGCGCGGCCTCGTCGAGGTCTGCGATATAGATAGCCTTGCTCATGACCACATTCGGACCCACGCCGATGCGGTTCATGAAGCTGACGGCGCGCCGCTCGCTCCACCACGTCGACGTACCCTGGCCCGAGAAGACGACGTTGGTGAACATGCTGAAGGCAAGCAGGCCTAGGATGATCCACTGCGCCGTGACCACGTCCCAGAGCTTCTTGACCGCCGCGAACGCCCACATCATCAGTGAGCTCGCTACGCTGTCCGCGAACGACCGGAGCGTCTCGAGGAGCATCTGGCCTAGCGTGCGCGGGTTGATCTGTGCCTTCTTCGCCATATCCGCCTCGTTGGGCGTGAACACCAGAGCTTGTGTCTGCTGCCCAACGTTTCCGTACACCTGGATCGCGCGCTTCGTACGGCTGTGGTGGCCGAGCTTCCGTACCTGGTCGGTCGCGACCTCGGCTAGATCTTCAGCGTCATGGCCGGCATCATCGAGAGCTTGCAGCTCGACCAGGTTCTTGGCGAGAGCGGGTGGTTTTGTCCATACCACTTTTGTGAAGATAGCGAGCTTGCATTTCGACTTGGCGACGTGAGTAATAACGATCTTGGACACCAACTTGAATCCATGCGCGTGGGGAAGATGCCATGGTGTTTTGACGTGTGTGACAACATATGTAACATGATCGCTGAATAATTCGATTGTTTGTTCATCGGTATACTCTTCTGCCTTCGTGCGACCTAATCTCGTAGTGTAGTTAACACTGAAACGAAATTGTCTTTGCATGTTCCCGGCCTCAGTTAACTTCCAAGGGCTCTGCGCGATATGCTGAGCCCTTCCCTCAAAATAAAGCTTGGGGAAGATGAAACTCTTATCACCGAATAAAACATGGAAGCATGCTTTAGCGCTGATTTCGAAGTTGCGTTCGGCGCCTTTCCTTTGCATACCTTCAGGCTCGTAGATCACCGGATGAGTTGGGAGCTGAAATTTCGGAAGCGGCTTCCGTGAGGCTTTGCGTCGTGACTTGTAGGCTCTATCATGACTTCTAGGACTGATTGCTCTACCCGCCGCAGTACCATCGTCAAGAGGCGTGTGTTCCGAAATCTCCTCCCAGCTGTCCATGCTTGGACTTTTCCTGTCTAGTTCCTCCTTCTCTAGATCGATGAGCGCTCTGATGAGCTCAGGCACGTCCATGGGCTCTTCAGCCTGTAGGTCATCAACTAGAAGGTTTAGACGCGAGTGTAAAAGATCGAGATCTTCGAGGAAAGTCTTGATTGTAACTCGGGTGTATCCGATGACATCCGTACCCTGGTTCAGATGAAGGAAAATGAAATCGCAGTCTCTGCCAGGAGCAGCTGTCACCTCTGAGATAGTGTCGAGGCTGATCGTGTATGTCACAACGAGGTCCATCTGATGGCCGTAAAAGTACATATTATCTGAAGTGACGTAGATTCGTCCGTTACCAGCCATCGTAGGCACAACACGGTCGTCTTCCGAATTACTAATCCAAGAAGCTCGGAAGACAAGAACTAGTTTCTCATCCAGTGGTACGCTTGGGAAAAGGAGACGGAACTGGGCTGAATTCGTCCTGAGTTCTAGGGGGTAATCAGGCGGGAAAGTCTCTGGAGGCGGGTTTTCTGGAGGAGGCTGAGCAACCTTCGCGTGGTTCATCCTAGCGTCCATGCTGATAGCCTTCTTATGTGAAGATGGGCTTTTGATCTCCTCGCCATCGCCGACCGGGACCATCTTGATAATGGGCGAGTTAGGCCCAAATGGATCTTCAAGTTCCAAGTCGCCCCGGTTAGCTTTGGCGTATTCTTGGCCCCAGGCATTGCTTCCCCAATAGTTGGCTAAGATCGCGGTCGGCAACATTTGCGAAGTGCTCGAACTGAATACTCTATCACCACTATAAACAACGGCCATCTTACTAAGATTGGTGGTTGCCGGTGGTTTTGCTAACGTTGGCGGTGCGAGACTGCCGTGTTGTGCTTCTGGACCAGAGAATCCCGGTATTTGTTGCTGGGATTGCTTGAGACCTGTCCCGGTATATCCTGGCAACAAGCCATGGCTAGCGGATATGAGGCCAGCAATTCCTCCACTGGACCCCGGTGGTGGCATAGGTCCCGTGTCCAAACCTGAAGTAAAAGCCCTCCTGTGAAGATCGAGTTTCTGCATAATTCTTGCTGCGTGCTCTCGACTAGTCTCGCCTTCCTCGCGAGCCAAAGACGTAACAGACCGTTTAGGGGGAGCTGCCGTAAGGTCAAAGCTCGGTCTCGGTATTAACCCAACTTCAGGTGCAGGAACTGACAGAGATGCGGTCCGGTCGGCATTGGCTCCATCCTCGATCTGCGCGTCTAACGCTTTAGCTGAGAACTCCGGAAGCGAAGGAGGCGTGATAGAGAACGCTGGATCGACGCCGCCTGGGAAAGATGAATTATCCCTGCTGACGCTAGCTTCGAATGCCTTCCTTTTTGCGACTTCGAAAACCTCGAGCCATTCCATCAACTGAGCTTGCGTCTCGGCTTGAAGTAGCAATGTCTGGTTCTTGGTCTTGACCTCGAAACAGAATCGACGTTCTTCTCCAACGGCGGGCTTCACATTACAAAGGAGAACACCAATCTCATCACCTTGCAAGACACCCTGAGGACTATTGACAAGCCAACCGAAAATACCGTCCCTACAATAGTACCATCTACGAACCCAATTGGTTCTAGAAGGCTTGCCAGTTATCGTCCGTAGATATAGCCAACCTTGTTTCTCCATTATCGCTGCAGCTTGCCCTGTAGTGGTGACGTTCAATGGGCCCCTGGACCCCAAAAATGGGACGGTTGATGCGCTATAATCTTCAATCTCTCGCGATGGTTTGAACGCTGCTAGTGCGTTCTCTCCAATATCGCTGCGTGCCAACTGTAACTGCCTCTTGAATGTGGGCTCGGAGAGTTCCATTTCTTTTGACCATCCTCTCACCCGATCCATCTCGTGACCGTATTTTCCGAAGCTTCCTGCAGCATCCCGCGACTTCTTCATATCGCGCCAAAGATCATAGGATACTTGCACGATCAACTTGTCGAGGTTGATTCGGAACTGGGGCGCATAAAAACAGAAATCCATGGAGGCCTTCAGGTAGGCTTTGCGGGTTTCGTATACGGCAAATGCGTCTTCACGTAATGACGAGGGCTCTTTTGCTTTGGACTGGCTCACGTATCGAGCTAGGGTAGTATCGAATATCTTCTGTGTCTGTTCTAATATCCTCCTAGCTTCTTTGAAGTTCCTTAAATCGCCCTGGAGGAAGTTCCGGATCGGCTCGACTGACATTGCATCCATTTGCTTTGCAGAATTTAAGACCTGCATCCACCATTCTCTCGACCCCTCACTGAACCTCTTAAGTGCCAGTGCGGCATAGTCGTTGTCCACATTGTTGATATATGGGGGCGGAATAATCTTGGATAGGTATATATGAATAGTCTCCTCTAAGCCTAACAAGTCGTGGGATAGCTTAGCAGTCGTTCTCACGTAACTCTCTAGCCACCGCTCGATAGCATCCACTTGTTCGGCAAAGTATAGGGAAGAAGATCGGAATGAGGGCGAATCGAGTCCTGCCTCGTGAAGGACAACCGGGACTGAAGGATTCTTATGCTTGATCGAAGGAGGTGTCGGAGTGGATGGCGGCGGCGCCACAGGAGCAGGGGTAGCCATTTCTTCTATTGACAAGACGTG